AGGGAGAGGTGACGCTTCTCTACAGCCTGGCGCGGCCGTCCTAGCCTCCCAGGACCGGGCCGTGGAGCGCCTCGCGGAGGCTGGGTGCTCGGGTGCGCGCGCGTGTGTGTGCACACCTGTGTGCGGGTGGGTATGTACGCTTGTGCATGTGTGTGTGCTCGCGCGGGTGCGTGTCGCAACCTGGAGACCGGCGGCAAGGTGTGGTCTCGTGAGTACCACCCGCTTTGTGTGCTTTTCAGAAAGGATGTCCTCAATGTGCGTCTCACCCCAATCGCCACGCACCCCGCCTCTCCTGCCATGCGGACCTTGCCAGCCTTCTATGTAGGCTCATTTTCTCCTAGGAAGAATTCCAGAATCCAGCGCTTCGAACACACACCCGGTCCTCCCGCGTGAAGATCGGAGCCGGGCGCTCCAGGATTTGCACACCCGTGGACCCTCCACCCAGGAGGAAAGCTGCCAGACCGCTTTACCCCATGTAACAGCCAGAACTCACCTGCAGACCAGATCAGCTTGGAAAACGTTCGTGTTGTAAGGATGTCTTTGTGTGTTTTATTTACTTACCTGTTGGGGCATTCTCAAGTTCACGTCGTGGGGAAAATATGAAGAAATCACGAGAGCCAGGTTTCCCTTCCTTTTGGAATGACTTTACTAGTGACCACGGGAGGATCTGCGTCCATGAGCCCGTCGAGAGCAGGTGCCCATCTCTGCCCAGGTCAGTGGAAGGATTCGTTCACGAACACGGAGCTTCTCGGTGGTGGAATTCGTTCTTCAGTGAGAGCACAGTGGGCTCAGAAATAGGGATGATCCTTGAGGACGGGAACTAGAGGATGCTGTTATCAGGAAGACTCAACAAACGTTACAGTCTTCTAAATTGAAAACGACATTGGTGACTGTTCAGTCAGTGTAGAGCCACTTCTGAGATGTCCTTGCTGAGTCTCCATCTGGCCCAGGCCACAGCATTCCCCACCCCTAAGAACCTACTGGTTTTTAGAAAGAAATTCTCTTGCCAATCTGCTTCTCCTGTTCAGCTGGGCTCCGTCTCCTCACCACACTCCGTCTTCTGTCCTTCAGGGAGTGCCCTTCCAATCCAACTGCCGGGTCCCCACTTCGTTTCATATCACGCCAGCAAAAAGGACACCTCTCCGTCACTTCTTTGTTACATTAAGTATGCTAGGTCCTAACCTCTAAATGAAATTTTCTAAGAAATGGTCTTTTTATGAAATACGAAGTAAGATTTTAGGAATGGAGACTTGACTAAGTCATCTAGTCCTTTTTATGAAAAGGACACCAAGTATTGGAGAGATGAAGTGGATTAATTTGGGCTTTTCCTTTCTCAGTTGTGTTCCCCGTTAAGGGCGGCTGGGCCTACTCCTCCTCTTTCCAATAGATAGGTCCGAATCAGATGAAAATCTTATTCTTTCCATGTCCTGCACGTCTTTCCCCAGTAAATTCAGTAAAGTTGGGTAACCCAATACAATATGCATACGAATTTTTTAAAAATGTTCTTTGCTTTCTGGTATGGCAAGGTACTCCAGGCTCACCTGTGTCTTTCTAGGATCAGCTCTAGGAGGAACCGTTTCTCCAAGGAGTCTTGGATGCTTGAGAACAATATTTGAAACAAATACGTGGGAGTTAAAGTTCCTGGCTGCTATTGGGTTGCCTCTGACCCCTCCCAGGTGACCGAGTGGGATATGTAATTGAAGGTGTAGAGCTGCCACTCTCTGTTTCTGAACTTATAACATCACAGCATAAAAATACCCAAACCCAGATGAGAGAGAGACAGAGAGAGACAGAGAGAGAGAGAGAGAGAGAGAGAGAGAGAGAGAGAGAGAGAGAGAGAGAGAGAGAGAACTGCAGTGCATGGAAACATTCACTAAACATCAAGTTAAAAATTATTATCTACAGTCTGAAACCACTCTGAAAAACAAATTATACTCATCAAAACAAAAGATGCAGCCTGCATGCTTGAAAATATTTCTGTTTATCACTGGTGGATTGGATTGATGGTGAATTAAGAAAAACCCCACTGAATGTTGGAACAGCCATAGATAGTAGAAAATTTGTAGACGGAACAGAAAATTCACTTATACCCTGATCCAGTTTCCCCTGTTGTGTGTCTTCTGTTAGTATGGTGCAATCATGATTGTCAATGAAGCAGCATTTATCCACTGTTTTTAACACTTTTCTTAAGCTTCCTCCACATCTATCTCTGTCCTCTTCCTAAGTCCCATCCAAAACACCACATCGCATATTGCTGTCGTGTGTCCTTCCATCACTTTTGAGTGTGACTGTCCCAGATTTATCTTATCTTTGATTACTATGGTAACTTTGAAGAGTACTAAGTTTTGTAGCATTTCCCTTAATTAGGAATCACCTGATAGGTCTCTCAGAGTTAGACTGGCTTTAGGAGTTTAGAGGGGAAGAACCAAGGGTAAAGGGACATTTTCACCACCCCAAGGATGCACTACTGATATGCTGCTTCTGTAAATCCAGCCACTGTCCTGAAGTAGTGCTCCACAGGCTTCTCCCTGAAGAGGTGTTCTTTGGAAGGAATCACAGTGCACGGCTTATGCAGTGCTGGGTCCACTCCTTTCCTCCTTCAGGTTGAAGTCTAGTATGTGATTCTTAATTCTTCACAATGATTTTTCTGTTCTATTCTATTCTATTCTATTCTATTCTATTCTATTCTACTCATTGTTGTTTTGTTAGACTCAGTATTGAACCCAAGGCCTGCGAGGTGAGCTACATCCCCATTTGTCTTTTGAATTGTTGTTTTTGTTAGACTCAGTATTGAACCCAAGGCCTGCGAGGTGAGCTACATCCCCATTTGTCTTTTGATTTTTTTCTATGTTGACACAGAGGATTATTAAGTCACTGTGTTGCCCAGGCTGGGCTTGAACCTTATCCTGCCTCAACTTCCCAGAGTGTTGGGATTGTCGGCATGGGCCACCACATTTAGCTCTGTTAATTCATCCTTATACTGATATAGACTCATAGATGTCTTTTAGATACTTATTTTTTTCACCTTGGTTTATAATTCAATGCTATTTTTATTGTTCAAATATTTTGTTTTAGCCCTTGGGAGCTCTTTCAGTGGACTTCTGTGTTCGTTCAACACACTTGACTATTGTGGTTGTTTTTCTAATTTTTAAAAAATGTTCTTTGATTTCTGATATTGCAAGATATGCCAGGCTCATCTTGAGTCTTTCTAGGATCAGCTCTAGGAGGAACCATTTTCCCGAGGAGTCTTCGATGCTTGAGAACCATATTCAAAACAAGTATTTGGGGGCTAAAGTTCTGGTTGCTATTGGGCATCTTTGCTTCTGACCCCTCCCAGGTGATGGAGTGGGATGTATACAAGTCAGTACACACACGTGTTCCACCAGAAGTTCATTCTCAACTATCAGATACTGAACGAAGTCTTTATTGATGCCTGTTACACTTAATGTCTTACCACATAGTTCACCAATGTCCCTGCAGCCCCGCATTTCAACAAGTAGGAAATCTGGCTTGATGGCTAATTTTTAAATTGCTCTTCAGTAGCAAAAACATGCTATTTTTTTATTAGAAAAATGGTTTCAATGAAAGAAGACAATTGCTTAATTTTGATCATGTGAAAAACTAACGTTAAATACTATTAAGCATCCATTAGAAAGAACAAGGGCACAGTAAGGAGAAGGGATCTGCTGGCGAAATTCCAGATCAATGTGCAGAAAGTTACTTTTCACCAAAACATAAATGGGTATCAACCACATGATACTTCAAGTCTAATCTAAAAGTAATCCTATCAAAGTTCTCGAAGCATTGACTTTAGGGGCCAATTCATAGCAACACGACTATCAGTGCTGCCTTGTTCCCACCAGATCCATCTTTCATCAATACCCTTTTCCAAGCCTTGGGAAGAACTTTGGCTTTATCTACTCTTCCTTCTGCAGGGTGGGGCCCCAAGGGACCACTGCCTGGGCAGAGGACAGGTGAATTCTAGGCCAGATACAGTTCTATTCCTGGGTGTTTGGGGTCAGATGCTTAGTCCTCTGAGCCTCAGTTCCCTAATTCTCACACTTAGATGACATTATTGCTCTTGTTCAGCATAGCCACACGATCATTCATCCACACTCTAATCTGTTGTCTTTCTTGTTTTAAATCCAAACATAATACAGGTTAATCAGCTTTGTCCTGCCAAATAACTGAAGGTTCCTGAATACAATTTTCCTTCCCTTCTTCCTTCCATTTTGTCCTCCATTCTACTTGCCTTCCACTAGGAACTGTTTTTTTTTTTTTTCTGAAATGTGTCTAACAAAGTTTTATTCAAATTTATATGTTGTATTTGTCTCATACTGTGTTTTGGGAAATTACACATATTTTCTAACAAGCCTGTGCTTGTATTCAGGTCAAGTTGAGGATTAGCAAGCAGAGTTTTTTTAGTGTTATTTCTGCACCCAGGGAGAGACCTGCCCATGAAGGAGGCACGTATTTTCTCTCTCAACAGTGTCAGTAGTCCAGTCCTCCTCCTGCCTCATTTAGACCATGGAGTCTGTGAGTCCCCGACCCCCAAGACCCCTTCATGGGTTGCATTTCTCTCCCTCCCCACCCTACCTGATGAGGCTGCTGTAGCAGAGCCAGCAGCTGTGCTCCCCAGCTGCTGGTTTCTTCATGGTGGCACCAGGGTGGATCACATGGATGAAGGTGGAGTGAGATTCACAGTCAATGTGGGGCAATAATAGAAAAGGACTGGTGGCTCTGCTCACTTTTAAAAACTACTATATGTACGTACCATTGAATTATATTCATTTTGGGGAATTGGTACGTGTACGTTGATGGGAAAAGGGGGGTTGAGGAAGAGAAGGGGGGAGAGAATAAAAATGACCTCATGGTTTTTCCTCCCACCCCTTATGATAGTTTTTCTTCCTTCTGGAATGGCACAGAAAGAGAGAAGGAAGATGTAGAAGAATTCCTGGTGCCACAGAACCTGCTCATAATGAATTCATATATAGTTTTCTTGGTAGGGAAAAAAGATATCTTCAGGAAAAGAAAAACTGAAGTGAAATGGCATTAGACAACAAACAAACTCAAGCTGTCTGGCATTCAAAAATTTGGTCTTCAGCCTGTCAGAATGAAAAATTCTGCTGTGACCTTTGGGAAATAGCCTTCCAGGCAGGAAAAGCAGTGAAGGCAAAGTGATTTAATATTCAAGTGGAAACATTTCAAAAATAAGTTCCACTTGACTGTTTGTGTGCAATAATGCACTGTACATGTCCAGAAAGCATGTAAGCATCTAGATATTTAGTTCTTTCATCCACAGGGCACAATCAGTAGACACTTACAGAAGTGGAGGTGCAATCTCTCTCCGTGGGATCACATCGTTTCTATGCCCCACTCCTTTGCCAAGCTGTCTTTATTTTTTTGCATGGAGAAAAATCTCTTCTGTTTCCTACATAGCGATGGGTTTCATGAGGACAATAAGGTGGATTTTGAGAAGATCGACTCTTTCAGAGTTGTCCAAAAATCTGAATGAGTTTAGAAGGTAAATCTGTCCCAGAGCCTCTGGAGATGAACCCAGCTGTGCTAAGACCTTACTTTTATCCTGGTAGACTCGACACACAGGACTTGCGTGAGCATTTTGTGTTTTAGGTTTCTGACCTATCAAACTGTGAGAGCAATACGAGTTGCCTTTAGCTACCAAGTTCATGGCAATTTGTTATAGTCATGAGAAAAAAACATACGTTAGGTTCAAATGTAGTCTCCTCTCATATCAAACTTGATGGCAAATGTTCATCTCTTAATGTGATCTGGAATGATACTTTACATATTTCATCTATGAGAGTTTTTTTTAATAGAGGCACAGCTAAAAGTGGTAGTGATATGTAGGCACAGGATTTAGTTGAACGTATTCAAATCTTGGAAGCATCCCTGCATTCTCCTAGATGAATGGGCCTCTTGAATTTTTGGCTTTTGATGTGGCTAAATGGATACTGAAATGTGAATACATGCTTTCATCACAACCAGGAAAACTTTGCAGTAGGTGTGCTTTTATTCAGAACTGTAGTTCATTGGTTCACATAAGAATGAAGATCTAGGTAACTATTTTCACTTCGGACAGTGCAGTGCTTCAAGGTTGGACATACATGATTGAAACAAGTTCACTTGTTGGGAAAGAGACCACTGAAGCACACATTTCAGTGCGGGCATCTGCTGGCTACAATATCAAGTCCTCAGGGACAGCTAATTTCAAAATGGCTCACTGCTTGATGATAGTGGTTGAAAGTATTTATTCAGAAAACATTCAGGGCTCTGAGCTCAAATTCACCCGGTAGTTAAGTTTGCAGGGGTGAATGGAACACACCACAGTTTCAAATGTTTTCTGTGAAGAATCTGTTGGTGAACAATACAGTGAATAACCTCAGGCTTTTGGCACCTGACATTTTTGCAAGCTTTGTAAATTTATAAATAGTGATCGCTTTTCTGTTCCTCACACTTTTCAGCATCTGCAGTAAAATTATGTCTTAGCAGATTCTACTTCAGATAGTATTAAGCTAGTGTTTTCTTGGTTCTTTTAATATTCTCATCTTTATGTGTCCCATGCAGCTCATAGAAATTAGCTGCCCAATCACTTGAAACTCACTGTTGACTTCTCTCGTTGTCAGCACCTGACCAGTACAAACGACTCTCAACTTATCAAGGACCCAGGGAAACAAATCCAGGTCATTTGCCTTGTTTTACAACTAACATCAACTCTGCTCCCAACTGTTTCCAACTGTGAGGAACTGTTTTTGCCAAGAAGTTGATAACCTTAGTTATCTTCTCTGGTTACAACTGCTGCCATCATAATAGTTTAGGAAGTCAACGCTGGCAAGGAGATTTTCCTTCTTGGTTGCCTAGAGAACTGCTGAGAAAATTAGTTTCAGCCTCACTTTTGCCCTTTGCTTTTTGTGAGTGAATTCTGCTCTGGAAGGATGCATCCTTCAAATTCCTCTACTTTTTCCAAATGTCGCCGTTGTCTGAGTTAAAGATGTGACAAGTGCTTAATTTTGGCATTCCCAACAACTTTTTTTTAACATTACTATGGTGTCCTGGCTTAAAAATTTTATTTTATCGTTTAATTTGTCAATGAGATCATCTGCACTCCATTATTCCATGTAACTGCAACACTCAGTGTCCACATTTTTCATGTTCGATACGAACCTACAACTGTCATAAAAATGCTGCAGGACGGAGTTATTCACAGCATCTCGAGTGCAGTGGGACAACAACTGTGTGTTGTGATTTGCAGTGGACCAAGCAGCAGAGCAAAGCCAGGAGAATGCAGGACACGGCTGTGTGGTAGCTGCTGAACCCCACAGTGACAGGGACACAGAAACGGCTATGGCTTGCAGATAAATCAGAAGGGCTGAACTCTTAGAAAACTTTAATCATGCATGGTAAGACTGCAATTTCACCTGCATTTTCCCATGACATGAATTATTATTTTATTTTCATTTTCAACAATTTAAACAAGGAAACTCCTACACAGTTTATAATCCATACAAAAACAGACAGCAACACGAATTTAGCCTATGGGCTATAGGTTGCAGAGCTCCAAAAACTAGAAGTGGGTCCTTCAATGAAAAATAATTTAAAGAAACTTCACCTGTCAAATATTTACCATTTTTCTTTTGCTGTGCTCTCCTCAGGAGGAAAGAGAGGGACAGAATGAGGTCTGTGGAAGTGGAAAGCAAAAGGCATTTTCACGTATTTCTCAGAGCAAATCTACTTACAAATGTACTCAGAATTCCATGTCCATTGTGAGTGGGGGAGCGTAGAACAATGCAAATGAACAATAACTTTTTCATGATTTCCTTTTAGCTTTTCTTGTCTTATCTGGGCAGGAGTTTCATCCATAAAGTGAGAATGTGGATAAAAACATCACATTTGGGGATGAAATAGCCCCACTGTGACTCTTTTTGGCCGTTTTAATTATCCTACAAATGTGAAAATGTGCCCTAGCATTTTTGTTATTGTTTGTTTGGTTTTTAAGATGGTCTTACTACATTGCTCAGGCTGGCCTCAAACTCTTGAGTTTAGGTGACCCTCCTGCCTCAGCCTTTCACATAACTCAGACTACAGGTACACACCACCACACGCATACCTTCTTGTTCTTTTCAAAGAGCTAATGAGAATAATCTTTTTTGTTAATATTCAATAGCTAGACCTTAGCAGTATAAATCTTTGGTTGCTATGACAAACAACAAAAAAAAACAGTGACTGTTTAAAAAATTTTTTAAAGTTACAGCAAGAGAAACTGCCATAAATACGCTCCAAACCCTCCCTCGTGCTCCGAACACATCCCGTCATTCTTGTTGTTTTCTGAAAGTCCTCTTCTGTATTTTTGTTGCCCTGTGGTGGATGCCCGGAAGTCATGAATTTATTCATAACGTTCACCTTTCACGATCATTTGACTTTGCACAAGAGTCAAAAGTTGCGCAGTTCCGGTTCTGGCGAATGAGCAGGAAGGAGACCCATATTCTGTTTCTCTGAGCCAGCCTTCCCATTGGATGACACTCGGTAAGCACATTCGTCACAGTTTTGATTACACCTATAATGATACTATGGAACAAGGAATTCCAGAACAGCACCTAAAACTGGCAAGGACTTTGAAATAACTCTGCTTGAAGTAGGAGGAGAGGATTTTGAGGGTGATGCATGGCAGTGTGTCTTTTATTGTAATAATTTTCTGTTGAAACATTTACTATATATTTTATCACTCCTATATACATTTTCAAAATTACATCTTAGAACGATATATTTGATCACTCCTTATATACATTTTCAAAATGACATCTTTTTTTTCCCATTGAGTCTTAATATTACTACTCTTTAGGTATGCAGTACAGTTGCATTCATCACTGGGATCTTGTACCTTTATATGATGTATTTTGGTTCTTATTTTTTTGCAATCACCCTGCCTCCCCTTCACCCCTTCCACCTTTTCCTGCTTACAAAGACTTTCTTTCCATTGTTTCCTTTCCTCATATTATTTTTCTTTTTCCTCCTTCCCTTTCCTGCTGGTTCCAAGGCAGACTTCAGCAGAGATGGAGCCACCGTAGTATATTAAACCCTGACCTGGGAGCCAGGTGGCCGCTGCCCGTTCCACTCCCTACCCTCTCTCCTCTCCCTGCCATGCCGTGTCCTTACTCTTGCCGGGATTGGCACAGAAATCAGAATGGGTCTGGGCTCAGTTTCAAAACCCTAAAATGGGGCTTGCTGTCAGCTTATGGAACTCCTCCCAGTATTTCCTCCTAGGGTCTATTAAATACCCTCCTCCACAATCCGAATCCAAGTCTGAGATTTGGGTCTCATTGTGCTTTCATGTATGACATACTCAAACCAATTCTTTCATATTTTTCAGGAATGAAATAACAAATTCGCTGAACCAAAGTTGTCCATCACAATACCATTATAAAGCAGTTGTAATGTCAACAGCCTTAACCATAATAATGAACATCTATGTGACCCTTACTAAGAGCCTGGACCTTTGTATACACTCTCTTATTCCTCCTCACAGAAGCCCTAGGTGGAAAATGTTAACTGTATTGGACTCCAGAAGAATTAAGTGGGGCTTCAAGAGAGTAAATAATTTCCCTAAGGTCTTGTAACCACTAGATGGCAGAGCCTGGATTCAAATCCAGGTGTATCTCCTTCAAAAGCATACATATTGATTTAAAAGAGAAAGCAGATACGATAAATGAAAAATGGCCATTACTCTCCAAAAATAAATGAATAAACAAACAAACAAACAAACAAATGAATGAATAAGCCTGCTCTCATGTGACCTAGCATTTCCTTCATCTCTCAGTTACTATGAATTAAGTAACTAAGACAAGGGTCAATGACAATGTCTCTACATCTCTATTCCCAGTGGAGTTATTCTCTATTAGTATTTAAGCAGTTACATTGCTGATAAAGCATGCAATATATAGGACATACTGACATCAAGACCAATAAGTTATCAGTAGCAATATTAACTTTATTTTACAATATATTGCCCACTTTACACAAATTGGTGGGTCTACAACCAAGAATTGTGGTTTACTTCAAAAATCAAAATAAATTTTTGAGTGGGCATGTCAGGTTCCACAACCATCAACATAGAAACCTTCAAGATAATTATGGCCTTGACATTTCTTCTCAGGAGCCCCATGGGATAACATCGCTGCTTAGCTGAGCTCATAAAGCAAAATTCCTTAGCGGTCACCACAGACAACCATTCCCATGCTCCATCTGGAAGGGTGAATCTCCTCAGTACTGATGAATTTGCCCCTCTTAGCTGAGCAACAAATGTTTTGTTTGGATTTAAGAAAATGTATTTTATGAAAATTACAGCTTCTGAAACGAGCTGGTGCTTTATAGTTTATGATTCCTTTCTCCATAAAAAGCAGCTGGCCTTTGGGTCTCTGTCTAATGACAGCTCCTTGAGTGTGTGAAGATGACCATGGAGTAGATCAACAGAAGCAGTACTTGAAATGAGCACTGATAAACTTGGATGACTGTGTAAATATGAATGTAAGTTACGGAAGGTGACCTATCTTCTAAAAGCTGGGATCTGAAAATCAGCAAGCATCCAACTAATTTCACCATGTCTTGTAAGAATACCATTAATTGTTCGAGAGACTAAAACAGTGTTGGCTTAGTCCCTGGGAATTAATCAAAGTTGAAATGATGTCTTTTCTCACCAACACATGATCAATGCTCAAATGTCTAGTTGGCTAACATGGGCAATCATCACCCTGATGAAAACTTGGCCTGTGGTGAAGACAAAATCATCATCCTGACACCACATGGAGTGATATTAATTGTAGCAAGGCTAGAAATACCCAGAACACTAATAAGAAGTAAATACCATGATAACAGAATCCACAATGTGCTTGTACCAAGACATACACTAAGTTATGATTGGACTGCACTAAAAGTTTTTTGGAAGTGAACAGGTAGATTACTGGCTTAATTTGGGCACTCATCAGAACAACTCTCTGCTGAACTGCTCTCTTGTTCAATATTTTATAGGTATTTTTGTTCTTAAGGGTCAATTCCCTTCCTCGGCCCTATAAATAAAGCAGAAATTCCACAGAGCAGATTGAGAGAAACCTTTCCACCACAGCAGCATTCAGCACACGTATCCATTGTGTTTGACATTCTTCTTCCTGTCTGTCTCTCTCTTTTTTTTTTTTTTTTTTTTTTTTTTTT